CAAGTGTTTGTTTGTTTTTTTTCAAGTATTTGTCCTAGGTACTTTCTCATATATATCTCAAACTATAGACTAAGTACCAGTACATAAATAAGTTGTGTCATAAACAAAAACAGGATTGACAATGGATTCTGGTTGTATTTGCTCATTTTGCTGCAAATGTTGATTTATTAAGTGTAAATACAAACATTATATGGCTGTCAAGGTTTTGCCTCCAGTAATTTGTTACAAGGTTAAAATGTCCTTGGGATTACACATTACACAACTGATAAAACTCTGGTCAAGTTAATTAATGTCTTTATTAATTTGAAATAAATTATTAATTTTTACCATGTTTACCTGTTCAACTCATTAAAATAATACAATAATTATAGTATTAGGAAAAAGTTGGAATCTCCAACTGGCTAACTAATTACTTTAAGCTATTTATTATTTCAGAATTGAAATGTTTTATTATTCTTTATCTGCACTATCAGAGGGTGCTTGCATATTAAAACATCACTAATCAAGGCCATGCAGCTCTTAGAAGATATATATTGATATTCATATGTTATTGTAATTTTTTTTAAAACCTTCAAGTAAAAATATTGTAAGTTTGAAATGCTACTTTAAAAGACTCCATGTCCAACATTACAATAAGAATTTATTTACCAACTTACACTTAGCGAATGTAAGTAAAACTGGAAACTTGACTTGGTATACACTACACTTATATATATGGACTATTACTTGCCCATAGTTTACTCACCATCAAACTGAGGTGCTGATGGACTTGTGACATCATCACCATCTTTTTCAATTACAAACTCCTCATCCTCTGTGCTTAAGTGCAGAGGAAACTGGAGTGATGCATCATCAGCACTCATTTTCACACATTTCCCTAAAAGAAATCAAAATAGTTAATGTGAAGCTGCCTTTACACCATTCAAAATTGATAAAAGAATATTTCAGGGAAGATAATAGTTACCGTATATTAATTTTGTGTAAAGTTACAAGCAGGATAAACTTCATAAGCAACAGTCATGATCTTCCACAAAAATGAACTTCAAAGATTTACCAATTAGTTGAATATCTTTGCATTATATTTTAAAACTCATTTTTTTTAAATTCCTTTATGGCTGCAACCTACTGTAAGAACCAAGAGTAAAATCCAAACAAAGCAGCACATAAAATTTACTGTCTAACATACGCTCATATCGAGTTTCAGGCGATCATCTATTTATAGTAACAGTTCGCGGCCGCTATACCGCGGTAACCTGCAATTAACTGTCCACAACCACTGAGGTTTAACAAATGAAGATCTTTTGAAAACTACAAGTTTCAAGTAACTATCAGCTTGTACATTTTCAAACTAGCATAATGCACAACTAAACATCAAATGAACAAAATCATGCACCACAATAATAAATTTATTGATTTTAACAAATTATGAACGGATGTGAGGATGCATTTCAGCTATGGATCACATCACTAAACTGTGTTGTCATAAAACGGATCATTTACAAATGCCAAAGCACGATAAACCTTCATAATTCACGAAGAACTCTGTATACTATCTTACCTCCGGGATTACCCAAATAATAAGGTAAAAACCATGTTTATTTTTCAATCGCTTCCTGTCCAACAGCCGCCATGCTTGTTTATACAAAAGGGAAACAGAAGTAAGCGATAATGTTTTTGAAAATTTTTCTCGATGTCCTTTTCGCAAAAAGTTTAATTTGTAATCAAAAAAATTTTAGTCTTGAAAAGGAAAGATTATATTAAGATTTTAAAATTATTTTTAATTTTCTTTACAATTTAAAAAAAAAAATAAAGTTATCGAATATATCCTGTTTTCGGAATGTCTCGGGAGAAATCCATACTTGTGGTCTTCTATTCACGGTGCATCGATTTACCCAAAACGACCCAAAAAGGAACCCAAAAGGAGTCGATAGGCGGCAACCGGCTTTTCCAAAAAAAAAAAACAAAACAAACAAACAAACAAACAAACAAAAACAAAACAAAACCAAAGAAAAAAAAAAAAAAAAAAAAAACAACAACAACAAAAAACAAAAACTACAAATAAACATTTTCATACTTCATTGAAATAAAACATTAGATTTGGAAAAAAAAGTTGGGGGGGGGTTCCCTTCCACTCCCCCGATACTTTATGCCTGGAGTAAGTCATATTTATATATAACTTATTGGGCATTATGTTGTTTCTCCAAGACAAGCTTAAGTTGCAACAGTATAAATTTATGTTTTTGTGACCTAATCAACATTGATATAAACTACATAATAAAAAAAAAATCATAAATTTATTCAAATTATTAAATTTTCTTTATCATAATTTATTCGTTTTGATTTCTTTTAAATTCCGACACGCCCTCTGTGTTAAGATAAAAACTCCAGAGAAACCCGAAAAGCTGTCAATAATGACTATGGATCCGGCTGTATTGGAATACGTGGAACATCTTCAACAAAATGTTGCTGAATTACATCAAATGGGACGGGAATGGGGGATGACAGACGATGAAATGTCAGATTGTATTGAGAGAGTGCTCAGAGAAAATGAAAATGTCATCGTAACCCCACCCCGAAAGTCTACAGCAAGGCGTATCTGGCGATGCATTGGTTACACACCACTGGTTATATCCTGCTTGATTTTGGCTGTATTGCTTCTTATGGCAGGGTCATCTCTCTTATTTGTTGTGGCCCCTTCTGCTGAGCATTATTTGTCTGGGAAGCTTCAACCATACGGTTATACAATTTTCAGAACCATACGACTCGCAACTCTCCCTCTCCACCGCTATTTCAACATAACTAGTGAGTTGAGAGTGGGTCATTTCTTTAACAATCATATATGTAGATTTTGTCTAGATCTCTCCAATTCAAAAGATTACTTTTTACCATTTTTAGAGGACAGATATATCGTTAGTCTTGGGAAATATTCATCAACATTTGCTTTGCAGTCATTCAACAGGTTGGACACACTGCCACACTCCCCTTCTTTGGTAACTGTTACGCTAAAAGGGAATTGTTCCTCTTTTCTGTAATGAAAAACATTACTGTATAGGGTAATTTTTAATCATTTCCCCTCTGTCCTCTTGTTTGCTTTGGGTAAAACTTTAAATGCGAGAATATTTTCACATTATGCACCGGCGGTACACAAAATGTACCGTTTTTTTTCGAGCCCATTCATCGTGTACCGGCGGGACACCAAAATTCACAGAATATGAAAATTTGTACGGTATTTTGAATTTCTCACTAAATGCCGCCATTTTCTTCTCATTATCTCTCGCGAGACACTGGAAAACGTCACCTGTGTTTGACACTTGACCTTCTGATAATTGTGTAGTGTACACAAACCAACACATGTGAAGGTGTGAACTGCCAATTGGGATAATTATCTTGCTATAAATCCGTATCAAGACACCCCTTTAGGGAGCTTCATTTTTAAAGGGGTACTTAATTATAATTGTTAATGTTTCGTAACTTGATTGAAAAAAATTAAAACAACTTCTAAAGTTGATATACACGACTTAATAGCGATTCTCTGTAACCACTTAAACTTCTTTGCCACGCATGGTCACTGATTTTGATGAAACTTTGCCCATTATTACAACTTGACACCAGAAACATATATCAAATAAAATTTCATTGCTATGTGTCTTGGTTGCCATGGTAACAGCCAGAAAAGTTGAAAAAATTGAGATTTTCAGCAACTTCAAGTCCTTATTAAGCCTTAATGAAGACTAAGAAAAACAAACAAACCATTCTCCCAAAAACATGACACCTTGTTGCCACTTATGCTATAAAGAAACTATTTAGGATTTATCTCTAAGTAAGTGGTAACCATGGGCATATTTGACATACATTTTAGATGCTTAAAAATGCTGAAAAATGCTCAATATTCACAAATGATAGATGTTACATGATCAAACTCAATAAACAACATAAGAAAAACAATGAAAAATATTTGACCTTATGTAATTAGGTATTGGCAATATTATTCTAAAAATAACTTCCGTGGTTGCCATGGTAACACAGTGTCAGCAAAATCTGTTGCTATGATTGGGTTAATGCTACTATCTTGAGGAAAAACAATAAAATTCATGACTGGCACATATACATCCTTAGGATCTTGCAACACCGATAACATAAGAAAGATTGGGATTAATTGTTACTTTGCAGTGTAACCATGGAAACAACGTACTAGATGTTCAAAGTGATATTTTTTTGTTGCTTTAGGAATTTACTAACCTTTTAATCAAGAAACATATTATTTGACTCACCTTGAATAGTACATATCTGGAAGAACTAAAGTTGAATATCATATATTGATAAAGTTTGTTGAAAAATACAAAACTGTTGCTATGGTTACCAAGAAAGAAAATGTTCGATTCTGTTAATTTTATGTCAATATTAGACCCTATGTGCCAGCTTATTGCATCCAGTTAGAGATTGGGTGGTAGTCAAAATTGAAAGTCAGGTTAGTTGTTCACATATATCAGTCATTAAAGTTTTGGGAATCTACATACAAGGGTACGTATCCAAGGAAACAGAGTATTTTTCAGATTTTTATTCATGTTTTTTCACCTTATTTCCATAGCAACGCACTATTTAAAGAATTGAAATTGAATTTTTTGAAATGTTAAAATTAGGGTCACACCAACGCCTTTAAAAATTGATCATCAGTTATATAGAAATGTGCTTTTTAAAAAGATAGGATAAGATTAAAACACTAAGAGAGTAAATTTAAAATCCCTTTATGGTATTAAAACCATGACAACCATTGCCAACCTATAAGAAATATCATATTTCGTCCTTGGTATATGTTACAAAGATCTCTTGTCTATTGTTTGCTTGCATTTCAACCTATAATTGTTTTTATTCTTAAGTGTAATGACTTTATAAAATTAAATAAACAAAATTATTACTTTTGAATACTTTGTTTCCATAGTAACTTATGTTAAAGTTGATTTACCAAACATGTTTATCATGCATTTAAGACACCAGGCCTTCAACTTTCAGAAACAGTCATTGCCACTTGTTTGCTTTGCTGCAAACGTTAACTGTGGGACTCTGAACATGTTGAAAAATGCAATTTTTCAAACTTTAGGACATGTTGCTATGGTAACCATGACACGTAGCAACCAATTTCTGCCTGATTTGAGTTTACGGTATCAAAGACTTTTATCACAGAGAGTTTGGAGAAATTCTGAGACTTTGCGTGCCACAGCTCCTATATAAAAGTTCAAGTCATTACAGAGAATGGCTCTTAATATACATGAATCTGACCCAGATCTCTGTAGGTATAAAATATAGTACGATGTTTAATACCATGATTACGCTGAAATAAAGGATATAGTTTTAAGTTTTTATGTGCTGAAATTTATGTATGATTGTATTTGCTGCTGTTATTTAGCATTGCTGATGTATATATCAGTAATATGAACAAGATGTGAATTGGAGACATTGACTCTCACATTATTAATACTATATAAAGCTGGCAAACAAACTATCATGTAATTTTAAGCTTAATTTATAGTCGATTCATAAGAACATTGTGATTATAAAACACAGTATATGAAATTTTAAAGCATTCAAATCTCCATTACAACTTTTAAAATAAAACATTTGCAACAGTATATATTTGTTGGTTTAGAAATAAGGAGCCTTATCAGAAGAATTTAAGCGATATTTTATACCGTTTTTTGATAGACAGTGTACAGTTTTTTCACCCAAATTCCAGTTTTTTTATGGCTCCTGTACAGTTTTGTGGTCTTTGACTTATCACATGTATGCATCCTCTAAATATTTATAGTCTATTAAGGGATTTATGTATGCTTAAAACTACATTAACCGCTGCAAAAAGCTAAAAAAGCATGATGAAATATATCTACGATATAGATTTCTTATGGAATCTTATCTGTATTAAAATCATAAAATTGAATACGTTAAGCACTTGCTAACTCGCACAAAAAATCATTCATTCTAAGACATCATAATAAAATTTTTTTAATAGCACTGCTTCTTTTACAGATGCAAATCATTATTGGGAATATCAAATTTTAAAAGATATCCATTCAAAGATGGTTTTAGAATGAATGCCTTTGTAAGATTCCATACTTTTAGTATCATTTGTCAACAGTGAAAATTTAAGTAAAAGTCATGGATTACTGCTGCTTGTGAGTTAAATTCTTATGCATGTTCAAAAATGTCAAATCCATGAAGCAAAGCTCTGAAATTTTTGTTTTTTGAAAACAAATAATAATATACTTTCAAGGGAAAAATTCACATCCGTTGCAAGAATAATCACAATTTCATCCTATTAAATCTCATCTTACTCCTGTCTGCAGCACTAAATGACTGAAAATTTATGTCAACGAGCAGAGCTCTAATTGGCGACTAATTTAGTCGCCATGATGCCTAAAATTTTTGATTGGCGCCTAAAAATTTTCCATAAGTCACTAAATCGGCAACCATTTTAAATTGACTTTGCAATCATCGAATTCTGGAAATTTTAATATTTTTTAACAATTTTTCTTAAAAAGCCAAAAGAAATTTAAAAGAAAAGGAAATTATTTTTAGGATAACAACAATCTCGTTTGAAGTCATCATTTTGCAAGTTTTATGGTGGATACAATGACCTTGTCAGCAAATACAACCCATCATTAAGTCAAATGCTGACTGACATTTTCATACTAATTCGTACTAATTGTTCGTCCATTATTTACACATTGAATTGTCTACGGATTTTTCCGTTTTCCTTATCATGACAAGGAGCACACGGTGGGTGTGAGCGGTCAGCAGGGGATGCTCACTCATCCATGGCACCTAATCCCACCTCTTATTTTTTTGGAGGTCCTTGTTTGCTTTGCTCCTGATTTGTATTACCTAAATGGACTTTGAGCTTGACTACTATTATCATTATCTCCATATTTCAATCAATATTTTATAGTTGTTTCAGCAGGCAAACCTCATTATATTGAATTCAATGGGGCCAAGAACAATTTGTTTTGAGATATCCATGAATTGAAATTAAAATACTTTTGGGAGATCCAGCCCATTTTGACATATCCAATGTTTAGATTGTCAGTATGTTTCTTTTAATGTTCAGTTTTTAGTGAAATGTTCATGGACGTCTTGAATACACAAGCAAGTTATTTGTCATTCTTCAGCATCATGACTTGCTTACAAATTGGAAAACAGTTTTTGACATTCAGTTACACATTTAGTATTCATTATATTTACCCAGATTTTGATAAAAGATGACAGTCTACCCTACCTTTTTTTCTAGGTCTGTATGATGCAGAGTGCCTTGTTGAAAATCCATGGTACGAAGAGCCCACATTTGAATGTAACTGGTGTGAAAACATTAAGAATATTGAAAGTTTAAATGACACTAAAGACCATGACTTAATTGATGGATTTATGAGACAAGCCAGACCGGTTGTTTTTAAGGTATCATTTTTTTGAAATCATTGAATTTTACATCAGTGAACATAAATCAACCTTAACATTTTTTTTATGAACTGAAGGACAATTCTTAAAAATTCAGGAGAGTATTATTATTAGAAAATATGCTGTAATTACAGAATCTGGCAAATGTGGTCAACTTTGAGGATCTTCGAACATTGTACAGAGAGAACAAGAAAGTCCTGGACAATGCAGCTTTCTTCAAGTCCAATATCCCAGGAATGAGATCCATCCAGGAACTCTTTGGTGATGAAGTAGATGAGAACACCTTGATGAAGGATGGAACAACTATTCACTGGTGAGACTTATCACAAGGATGATTAGGGTTGTCCCTAAGAATTGAGGGGATAAGTATCATAGGCAGGGGAAATTCCCCGGTCCCAGGGTCTTAGGGACAACCCTGATGATGTTAGATATCAGTAATATAGCATAACAAGGGCAATCTCACAATATGTGTATACCGGGTAATTGCAAAATGGCTGAAAGTACTTCAATTATGTTTTAAGCAGTGAAATTTTCGTGATTGATGTGAATAATTTAAAACAGTCATTCGTTGTTTACTTTTATCAGCATCAGCACTTAAATAATATGACACTAAAATAAGGACACAGTGATCAGTGTCTTTTCTACTGATGTTTCTTGAAAGGGTTATTAATGCATTGAATCTATGTGAAATTGTATTTTACTTAATTTTTGAGAGCATTAATAAAGGAGAATGTTATGTTTGGAACATCTCAAATTTGCACTCTACAAGAAAAGGTTAGACTTCCCTGAGAAAAGTGACTTGTAAAGCATTTGTTTTATAGGGTGACAAGAAACATGGCAGGTAGTCAGGTGATAAGAAAGTTGTTCCCTCGGCCGGCTTTTATTCCACCAGAGAGTGAAGTGACGCTAGAAAGAGTTATCTTCATTGATGGACATAAATCAGATCACTATGAACTGGTGAGTGAACTCAACAATTTATCTGCTCATCTATGATTGCTACATGTCTTAAAGGATCTAATTCTAATTAGATTGGTGAAGTTGATTATTCATTTAACATTTTCTATCATACCATCAGATTAATTTTAGTTACATGTATAAAGAAATTTATGTGATCATAATTCAAGATGTGAATATACTGTATTTCTACCTCCTTAATGGCATTCCATACAAAACTAAGATTTAAGATGCAGGTCAATAAATATTTTAAAAAACTTTATTCAAAATTTAAGGAGGGAAAATTTTATTTCACTAATATTTAAGGTTATTCATTAAATCAAAATTTTATTTGACTGATTTCTAGGTGGTGTTGCCGCTACAGATGGGATATTATATCCAAGCCTCAGGAAGTCACAAAGTCATTGTCACCCCTCTGAAACATTGTAGAGATGTATGCAACCCCATGCATACTGTTCTAAAGGAAGGAGACATATGTAAGTATACAAATACACCTTCAAGAATTTTCTCATATAAGCTTCAAGTATTAACTCGGATGGAATTCTGGACACCATACAAAGCACCATTTGACCATTCAGTCCTATACTAACCTGATACTAGAATGCCTGAGGAAGTATTCTATGTTTTACAAAGTTAAAAGCTCAGTGTCAGATTTTTTAACAGATTTGACAGTATTGTGAACTCCAGACTTTTTAGTCTCATGTGTTCTTGTAATAGATCCCGGACCAATCTGATTGAAATCGGATCTTTGTTACACTCCGAAATTCTGATAGTCGTTGTACAGTGACTATCAGAATTTCAGAGCATAACAAAAATCTAATTTTAAGCAGATTGGTAATGAACTAGACCAGAACATAACGTGACCATTTTGATACACTTTCCGTAGATTTGGTAGGTAGATGATGAGGACACTTGATTTTGAAGTCAGTGTCAAGGTCATTTTACATCCTTATGTTTGTAAACAATACTTATTGGTAGGGTTTGTCTCAGAGATGAACAGAAGATGCATATGTAACTGTGTACACATAATACTTACTGTACTTGATTTGATATCATTATTCGACATGTTAACTTGAGCATTCTCTTGACCTGCTGTTAAACTATTATACTGTTTATTTCAGTGATGTATAATCCCTCCATTTGGAAGGTAGTGGTGATGCCTAACTTCCAGAAAAAGCTCAGCATTGGTTACACTGGATCTTTTTCATTCAGTGGATTTGACTATGACTTAAAGGAGGTAGAGGACCCAGAAATTCAACCAGATCCTGATGCCGAGCAAGAGGAATCAGTGGAGGAAGAAGACGGAGAAAAAGAATAAAACATAGACGGCATTCCTGTAAATCATCAAATGTATTCTCCACCTCGTGTCTTAATTATAGAACTGTTGGCATTTAAAAAAGATACAAAATACTATTCAAAAACTGTTAATAATGAAGGAAAAGCCCTAGACTTATCAACATTTCAATTTTTGCTGTGTACTGAAAAATAGAGCTGAAAATAAAGAAGACACGGAATCAGGAGTTATTTTTAATGATACACACAGGAAACCAAGTTTTATTCATTTATAGGTTTTATTGTTTATATTCAAGCTTTATATAAGTTATATATATCTGTATTTTATGAGGCAAATTTATTGCAACAAATTTTCCTAAGTTTTGTGCATTCTTTTTACATAAATATATCTCACCTGGAACCAATTTTAAACTCACCTGAGCTGAAAGCTCATGTGAGCTTTTTTTGATCTTATTTTGTCTGTAGTGCGTCTGTCCGCCCATCTATCCATTGTGAACTTTTCACATTTTCGACTTCTTCTCCAGAACCACTGGACCACTTTCAACCAAACTTGCCACAAAGCATCCTTGGGTAAAGGGGATTCAAGTTTGTCCAAATGAAGGGCCACATCCTCATTCAAGGGGAGATAATTCAGAAATAGTGAAAAATTGGTGGCATGTTTTAAAAATCTTCTTCTCAAGAACCACTGGGCCAAAAAGTTGAAACTTATAGGAAACCTTCTCTACAAGGTGTAGATTCATGTTTGTTCAAATGATGACCCCTGGGGGTAGGATGGGGCCACAATGTGGGATCAAAGTTTTACTTAGGAATATATAGGAAAAAACTTTAAAAATATTCTTCTCAAGAACAGCATTGCCATGATTAGTCATATTGATATGGAAGCATCGTCAGGTAGTGTAGATTCAACTTTGTTCAAATCATGAACCCCAGGGGCAGGGTGGGGCCACAATGTGGGATCAAAGTTTTAAATAGGAATGTATAGGAAAAGATCTAAAGAACAGAAAAGCCATGTTTAGTCATATTTATATGGAAGCATTCTTAGATAGTGTAGATTCAAGTTTGTTCATTTGATGACCCCAGTGGGTAGGGAGGGGCCACAATGGGATCAAAATAATAACAAGGGAATATAAAGGAATAAAAATTTTCTGCTCAAGAACAGCAAAACCGTTTGTTATTTTGATATGGAAGCATCCTCAGGTAGTTTAAAATTCAAGTCCCCCCACCCCCCTTTTGTAAACTTTTCAATACTGAACTGATTTGTGATTTGTGCTTTTTCCTAGCCAATGTGCTCAGATCAGTGATCAGATGGGCCTCTTGCTTAATTATATATTTATGTAGAAAGAATATAACACTTCAATAGCCTCCTTGAATCTCGGATTAAATATTTGATAATACATGTATTTACATTTCTGAAAATTGGAATTCAGGGCTTCTCGATTGTCTTTACTTGGGGCTGTTCAAAGACCCCTGTCCCAATTCAAGAAAGGTACCCTTTTCTCCAACTGAATGGGAATTTTCCCAATAGTCATTACCTCCCACTATTAAAGAATACATTTGAATATATAATAATTAAACTGGCTACTCATGTTCCTGTATATTGCAAAACAAAAAAATGAGATAATAACAAACAAAAGAAACCCAAAATACAAGGATAATGTTTAATAATTTCCCCCAAATTCCCAAAAAGGTTGCTCATTTTCCACTATTAACGGCAGTCCCAAAAAGTGTTGTGAGAGCCCTGGGAATTTATTGAATCAATTTCTCTGAACATTGTTAACATTGGAAGATGGAAGAAACAATTGAAGCACAACAATTGAAAATAAGGTTTGAAAGATTGTTTAAACAGTTACAAAATGTCAATAAAAATCTTTGATGCACTATAAAGGTTTAGAAAGACTCAACATTTCCTATAGCTCTGGCAAATCTGTTATCATATATTTCATTTATTTTTTAAAAAAATGTGTATTAAAGAATTTTATCAGATTCCACAATTCTTTGAAGTGTTTCTGGGTATTACATATGATTAAGATTGCATAATCTAAGGCTTCCGAGATGAGTTACTGCCCTTGCATAGAAATCAAAAGAATTTAAATGCAAAAATTACTGCATCATTTTAATACTAACAGGTTATATCAATGATCTTGACTTATTAGCCTTGAACTTAATTCTCAAGATGTCTTTTAAGAAATATATCTGTGCATATTAATCCCCCCTCCCCCCCCCCCCCCCCCCCGCTTTCTCGGAAAGTGAGGGAAATTAATTTGGATCCGTCCTTCTGTTTGTGTGTAACATTTCGTTTCTGGACAATATCTCAATAGGCCTTTGATCTTTTGCAATGGAATTTTATATCATAACTATCTTTGTCCTATAGAGGACTCGTATTGATTTTGAGATCTAAAGGTTAAGGTCAAAACTCATACATTGTGAAAACAGTTTCCAGATGATAACTTTAATTCTATGAGAGCCCTTTCAATGAAACTTTACATCTTGACTCCATGTGACTTAAAGACGACCCCTTTAGGTTTTGAGGGCAAAGTTTTAAGGTCAGAAATTTAATTAATGCAAAAAATGGGTTCCAGATGATAACTTTAGTTTTCTCTTGATTTTTCGATGAAGTTTTATATCATAACTCCCAATGACTTGAAAAAGATCCCTTTTGATTTTGAAGTCAAAGGATCAAGGTAAGAAATTCATATACTTCAAACAAAAAATGGTTTCCAGATGATGACTTGATTTCTTTTTGAGGTTTTGCGATGAAATTTTACATGAAAAAAAGACCTTTTTATATTTTAGGTCAAAAGATCAAAGGCCAAGGTAAAAACAAATGAATTCATGCATAATTTTCAGAGGATGACTTAAGTTCTCTGTAAACTTTTGCAATGAATATTGAGGACACGAATTTCTTAAACTGAAGGGAGAACCCTCTAGACTTAAAGACCAAAAGCTGAAAGGTCAAGGCCGATTTTTTTTCTTTCTCCATCTGCATTTTTTCAGGTCATCCTCCCTCGTCTTTATTCATAAGTGGGGGACATAGAATCCCTGAAATAGCTTGTTAAATCTATGGGTGACTATTCCAAAGCATTCTTCAGCTAAATAAAAAGTATAAAATCTGTAGATTGCAAAATTTTATCCTTTAAATCGTTCATGTGAGCCAGTTCTAGAGGGTTAAATGGCCTTGACCTCCTAGAACTATAATGGATAAGAGAAGTGCATGTGTCTTTGGATCACACCCCTCCTCTCTCTCTCTCTCTCTCTGAAAACCCTTTTGATACTCATTCATAAGAGCACTAGTATTTCATCAATTTGACACCCCCCAACATACACGTATACACAAACTGAATAGAATTGGCGATGATACGGCTCTTTTACATTTACTTTTTGATTTTTAAATTTTTTTTTTTTTTTGGATCCACTCGTCCTAATGCTATTTCTTATTTAGAGACCCAATTTCAATATTCTTTTTGCCAGTATCCATTGCCAGATCAGAATATATTCCTGTATTGTACGTCACGCCGAATTCACATTCGCAAAGATCACCTAAGCGTAGTTATTACTGTTAACAAACTAAGTTTATTTAACCATACTTTACGCATCATATACAATTTATATGTTCAAAAAGTGTAAACTATAATGAATAATGAAAAAAAAAATTCATGTGCAAAGCACAAACACAATTTCACGATTAATAAACAATACTTTACAACATTACAATAAAGTTGATAAATGTTTACAATGGTTTTGTGGTTAAATGGTTAATGGATGTCTGATATTTTTTTTTCCATTTTAAGTTTCGAGTGAATCCTTTAAATTTGTTATTTTAAGTGACTCTCTCTCTAATGCTTAAATATGTTTTTACAGAATTTTAAAAAAATTAAATTCATGCTCTAAAGAAGAGATATTCATAGGATATCTAGAAAGAGTGGCTGAAGCCTCAAATGGGATTTTCATTGAAAAAAAACTTCATTCATTCACTGAAAATTCTGTACAGAAAAGCAAAGAAATACAATTTGTTTTTGAAATAATGCACTTTCCCCATAATATAATTCTATTATAATCAACAGAGCCCCCCTCCCCCCAACATCAGAACCACACTGACCCAGTGGCCATTAAATTCACAATTTTGGGAGAGGCACCCTTGCTCATCATAACTATTTACTTAGTATATATGCTTAATACCCAGGAGCAGAGAAAATTTTCAAAGAAGTAATGTACTTTCCCAATATAATAAATAGAGCTGTCGTGTTCTAAATTTTGAATTTACCGGGTGGGAGTAAATACAAAATTTTTGTCATGTTCTAAATTTTGTATTTACTCCCACCCGGTAAATTCAAAATTTAGAACATGACAGAGCCCCCAACACCAGAACCGCAATTCTGTGGCCACTAATTTCACAATTTTGGAAGAGGTATCAATGCTTATTATAACCATGCTCCTAGATAGGGAGAGGGAGAGAAATCTTTTTATGTGATCATTAGAGCTCCACCCTGACTCTGGAACCCTTGACCCCGGAGCCATGAATTTCACAATTTTGATAGAGAGCTCAATACTTATCATGCCAACAGTTTGACTGCTTAATTGATGCCCAGAAGTAAAGATTTTTAAAGATATCACTAAATTTGATGCTTTTAGCCCCACCCTTCAGGCCCCTGTACCCGTTCATGCAGTCTTTGTACCCCTTAACCCATTGATGCCATATGACAAAATTGGTTGAAATTGGTTCTGTGGTTCGAGAGCGCAGAAGCTGATGTTCAAAAGTTTACGATCGACGAACCAAAAACAGATAGCAATAGGTCACCTGAGTGACTCAGGTGACCTAAAAAATGTACAAACGACAAAAAAAAAAAAAAGATATTGTGAGAACTTTTTCAATAATCGTGTGGACTTACAGTCTATTTTCTATAAATCGTTCATGCGATTTCTTGAATCACCGAAAATACTCGAAATTCTATATATATATGCACAGGAGTTTAAGGAATTAAAAAAAAAACTGCAATCACTTATCTTCTCGTGTGCATTATTGTTTATTAGGCTGATTCTTGGCAGTCAAATTTAGCATCGAATACTTTTGTTTTCTTTGACTGATTCCCCTGACGTCACTGCTTGCATGAACGGAATCGAAGGTCGTGTACTTCTGTTGAGAGTGGGTTGAAGCGTAAAGTGTGCCGCATACTTGTAAGTTCAAGTCGAAAATGGGCCACGGCATGTAGAGATCCTACTACCCAATCACTCCAAAAGAGAGGGGCGCGGCTCTCGATCTGCTGGGTTTCATTACCCTGAAAGAATACTAGTATGTGAGTACATTGTATAGCT